CTAAACTCTCCCACTCTATTTTTTTCTTTTGTTGTTAATTCCGGAGAACAAACTTGCAAATAACACCGCTTTTCTCCGGTCTACCTCCGAAAGCAGCACCTCCAATTCACATTCTGTTCAAAGTTTCTCTTTTTGCTTGCTTTTGCCATTGCTTTTTTGTTGGGTTTTTCCATTAGCATAGTCATTAGCATATTCATACGGGGGAGGAGGCAGGGAGGGGTTTTGTGCTCGTGCATGTTGCGCTCAGTTTCACGTTCATTCAGATGTACAAAAGAATATGCGTGAGATTCGGCGTACGCAGTGTTTCATACATCTGAATTTTTTCTGCGTACGCACATTTACAGCTTTGTGCGTACGCAATGTTTTAGTAAGATTTCCACGCAAGTCTTCGTACATGAGGCCCCAGTTTTTTACTCACACACAGATAAACAAAGACACACTCACATGCACGCAGCACGCACACACAGACACTCTCTCTCTCACACAAACACACACACACACATACAGCTGCTGACTGCTCCTGCAGAGGATTCTGGGTAAATCTCTCGTCAGTCTTCAGCTCAGTTTCACTGATGATTCAGAATAAACCCTAAACCCAGGGCAGAGCGGCTCAGTGAATGTGGTCTGGACTGAGTGGATGAGGCTCATTGTGTCTCTATAGATGTTGTAGAAGATCAGAGTTCCTGCACTGTGATCCACAAACACTCCTATTCGACTGCTGAGCGCCTCCACTGGGAGATCAGTGTCTGTGTTATTGTGTCTGAATGAGAAACTGGAGGAATCACAGAACAAACTCCAGGACTGAGCATTATCTCCAAACCAACACTCAGCACCTCCTCCCTTCCTCCTGATGCTCTTATATGACACTGATATACACACACCACGATCATCTCCACTCCAGTCAATCTCCCAGTAACAGCGTCCACACACACTCTCTCTGCACAACACCTGAGGATCATCATCAAATCTGTCTGGATGATCAGGATACGGCTGTTTCTCTCTCACTCGCTTCACCTCTCTGTTCTCCTCAGACAGAATGAGTTGAGTGTGTGCTGTGTTTGGATCCAGAGTGAGGAAACAGACATCTGAACACAAGAACACACACATTTACAACCACAGCTGTGTGTGTGTGTGTGTGTGTGTGTGTGTGTGTAAGAGAGAGAGAGAGAGAGAGAGAGTGTGTGTCTGTGTGTGTGAAAGAGAGAAAGATAGTGTGTGTGTGTGTGTGTGTGTGTGTGTGTTTGTTTGTGTGTGTGTGTGTGTGTGTGTGTGCATGTGTGTGTCTGCATATGTGTGAGCATGTGTGTGTGTGTAAGAGAGTGTGTGTGTGTGTGTGTATATGTGTGCGTGCATGTGTGTGTGTGTGTGTTGAAAAGTGTGTGTGTGAAAGAGAGACAGAGAGAGGGTGTGTGTGTGTGCGCATGTAAGCATATGTGTGTGTGTGTGTGTAAGCGTGTGTTTGTGTGAGAGAGAAAGAGAGAGGGTATTTGTGTGTGTGCGTGTGTGTGCATGTGCGTGTGTGCATATGTGAGAGTGTGTGCCTGAGTAGCTGTGTGTGTGTGTGTTTGTATGCTCATATGCATGTGTGTGATGTGCGTGTATGAGTGCGAGTTTGTGCATGTGTGTGTGTGTGTGAGTGTATGTGTAGTCCTACATTTGTGCAGTCCTGCTGTAATCCTCGTGTGTGTGTGTGTGCATGGGTGTTTGTGTGTGTGTGTGTGTGTGTGTGTATATGTGTGTGTGAGAGTGTGTGTGTGTGTGTGTGTATGTGTTTGTTTGTGTATGTGTGTGTGTGTGTGTGCGCGTGTAAGCATATGTGTGTGTGTGTGTGTGTGTGTGTGCGAGTGTGTGTTTGTGTGAGAGAGAAAGAGAGAGGGTGTTTGTGTGTGTGCATGTGCGAGTGTGTGTGTGCGTGTGTGAGAGTGTGTGCCTGAGTAGCTGTGTGTGTGTTTGTTTGTGTGTGTGTGTGTGTATGCTCATATGCATGTGTGTGATGTGCGTGTATGAGTGCGAGTTTGTGCATGTGTGTGAGAGTGTGTGTGCTTGCGTGTGTTTGTGTGTATGTGTGTATGTGTGTGTGTGTTTGTGTGTGTGTGTGTGTGCGCATGTGTGTGTGTATATGTGTGTGTATATGTATAGTCCTACATTTGCGTGGTCCTGCTGTAATCCTCATGTGTCCTCCATGATCCAGACTGTAAACACACACAGATGGAGAGAATGAGCTGTTTAGTTTCCCCCTCAGCTAATAAGCTAAAGCTAGCACTGAGCCGCTCAGCTACACGCTCCAAACTCTTGAGCTAAAACACACAACACTTGTTGGTTGAGCCGGGATGCACAATGAATGTAACACAGTGCGTTCTTTTCCTCTGCTGTTGGTGAAGCGAGCGCAGATACTGCTCATGTTGATGGAGACACCCTGCTGCAACATTCATTTCAAGAGTTCACACTTAGATAATGCTTGACTATTTAAGCTAGTTGGGCATGCTGTCCCGGGAGAGAACCCTGAGCTCGGTGATAGATGAGCCCAAGGCTTCCGCCTGGTCAATAAGCATTTGGAGGGATATGAGATCAGGTAGTTCTCGATAGCTTCCCAAAATAGATCACTAGTTGTGCTAGTTTGTAGTAAGTGCTTGTGACTTCAACTTTTGTTGCATAGTTTTTGAGTGTGGGAGGAAACCGGAGTACCCGGGGAAAACCTACGCGAACACGGGGAGAACATGCAAACTCCGCACAGAGAGTATCGGTTGGCTCAGCTAATGTTGAACCAATGACCTCCTTGCTGTGAGGCAACAGTGCTAGCCACCAAGCCACTGTGTCGCCCAAACTGAGGAGGAGGGAGAAGGGATGGATGGGGGGGGAGGGGGGATTTCCAAAACGAAGACGAGGAATGAAGTTTAGGCTGGATATTTATACTGAATTTAGAGTGATCCGATTGGCTAGTTAGTGATTAGTGATAGGGATCAGCTGTAGTCAATCCTGTCACGTGCTCCTCTCGAAATTAGTTTGAGAAACTTAACTTCAAGAGTTCACACTTAGATAATGCTTGACTATTTAAGCTAGTTTGGCATGCTGTCCCGGGAGAGAACCCTGAGCTTGGTGATAGATGAGCCCAAGGCTCCCGCCTGGTCAATAAGCATTTGGAGGGATATGAGATAAGGTAGTTCTCGATAGCTTCCCATAAATGCTATTGTTTCAGGACAGCAGCCGCGTATTCGAAGAACGCCCCCCCAAAAGCTAGAAACTGCTATATTTGGCTGCTGGATATAGTGGTTTAAGGAGAAAGAAAGAAATGAAAAGGTAGAGGAGATGCGGGCTTGGTAAGAGCCCAGACGTGAAAAGAGGAAACTATCTCCGATTGAGATAATATATAAATGAACAACATAGGTAAGGTGCTATGCTGGAGGGTGGGCAGTGACATGACTCGTGCTCGTAGTCACTGCTCGAAAGTTGAGCTATCAAAGCAGGTTCCAGCAGGAGTCGGGAAAAAGAATTTTGGGCAGTGAAGGCTCCGACTATGAAAAATGGGGGTTTAAGCTCTAGGACCGCCTTTGCGGTAGCTAGAGCTTAGGGGTGACAGCACTATGAAATAATGTATATGTCATAAATACATAACATATATAGGCATATATCCATGCACACATTTGCACTCGTGCCGTGCGCATGCACAGGTACACATGCACGCATGCACACACACACACAAATACACGCACAAACATATACACACGTACGTACGTACATATATATATATATATATATATATATATATATATATATATATATATATATATATATACACATGCACACATATACGCACACTTAGTAGTTACATCTCGGGAAGTTGAGCTATTAAAGGCTGGTTCCAGCAGGAGTCGGAAAAGGGGAATTTGGGCAATGAAGACTCCTACTGGTTGGAAAAATAGATGTTTAAGCTCTGGAACAGTCCCTGCAGTTGCCAGAACTTAGGGGTGACAGCACTATGAAATAAAATATATGTCTGCGTACATGAGTGCACGCAGGCATATCAATATATATTATTCATAGGCACATATTTATGTATATGCACACATGCCGTGTACATTCCTCATATGTGTGTATATGAACAGGCAAAGCAATATAAAATAAATAAAAGATCTAGGGCTCGAGGAGAGGGGGCAGTGACGTGACTCGTGCTCGTAGTCACAGCTCGGGAAGTTGAGCTATCAAAAGCTGGTTCTAGCAGGAGTCGGGAAAAGGGGATTTGGGCAATGAAGACTCCTACTAGAGGGAAAAAGAGGTTTTAAGCTCTGGGACCGCTCCTGCGGGTCATTTTCGGGCCCAGTGCCTAGCCTGCCCGACTGTGGTAAGCCACAAAGTAGGTAAGTCTTTTTAATATTTGTGGTCCAATGAGAAGTGCATTGTAATAAAAGGAACTTTATTTTTCTACATCACACACTTAGCTTTGCCATCATTCTTCAGCACATGCAGCCTTTGAGCAGATGTTGCAGTCCATCTCTAAACTATGTTCAGATTATTAAAGCTGCTCGCCAGCGCCCAAGATCCTGACAGATTAGCAAGTGAAAAATACACATGTGTGCACAGAGAAGAGGAATCCAGATGTTGATTTTAGAACAAGAGTCTGAACATTAATCCAAGTGTCTGATTCCAGAATCTGAATCCATCTTCAATCTCCAACCCTATTCCTGACCTGATATTGTAGGATTCTTCAACAGAAATGGAGGAAGTTTCTCTGCTCAGCTCAAATGCTGAAACTGTACAGTGTGTCCCACTTAATGTCACTGTAACTGAGCCAATACACTCCAACATTTACAGAGGAGATTCATTTCACACTCAATGATTTGCTCTTCATAGACATGACTGGAATACTCTACAAGCTGTATCTTCTGTCTGTCCTCACCCCATAACCCTCACAGAAAACTGAAGCTGATCACAAAAGAGCTTTCTAGTGTCTTTTTAAAGCCATTCAGTGTAAAAGCACAAGGCCAGTGCTGCTCCACATACTTGAGTTTGTCCAGTGTGTAGTTTGGATCCTCCAGTTGTTCAGAGAGCAGCTTGACTCCTGAATCTCCTGGATGATTGTAGCTCAGATCCAGCTCTCTCAGGTGTGAGGGGTTTGAAGTCAGAGCTGAAGACAGAAAACCACAGCCTTCCTCTGTCACCATACAGCCAGACAACCTACAAACACAGCAATAGTCCACATCACACAGTTGGACAATCACACATCTCTTTGTGTTGTGAAGATGCTGACTGCTGTTTCTGCTCATGTCAACAGCAGTGATGAACACACACATCCTGATCAGCTCTCCTTATTGATCGAGCCCTCGCATCAGCACACACACACACACCCAACAAGGACTCGACATCATCTGTAGAAGTGTACAGAGCAAAGACATTGTTCATAATACACCACATCAAGCTGTAAAGTCTGCTGTGAGGAGGAAGAAGACACACTTGAGCTCAGAAGATCATCTTAAAGTCATGTATAAAACACAACAGGAAATGAGCTGATCTCATCATTTATATTGCGATTCTGTTGTGGACTAAAACTAAATGAGCTCAGACAAACACAAAGCCGCTCTCTTCATGTGTTCATCACCTGACCCACAGTCACATTCACACTGATGGTCCATTAGGGGACTTTTATTCTGTCAGGAGAGAAACACCTGATCAATATTCATGACTGCTGACTCTCCTTCACATTCAGCCTTTACCAGATATTGTTTTAGATGAGCGAGTAATCAGGATTATTTCACACACTTTATCATGAGACTTTTATTTGTTTTCAAGAAACTGAAACTGCACAAATATGAGAGCAGCTCAAACCTTCAGCAGGACACAAAACAGCTTCACTTTAGCGTTTAACTCTGCTGCTTTCACACCTCCAGATCCACTGTTCTGCTCTGAAACAGGATTAACACTGGTATAATGTTTATTTGTGTTCTCGCTGCGCTTCACTTTCACACAGAAATGTTGAATGTTGACATCCACAGACAGACACAATCTGGTAAAGTTTTCAAACAGTGAACTGTACTGCAATTATTAGTGAAATCTATATTAAAGGTCTTCAAATATGATTTGGATTTACAGTAATTGTTTTTCATGTTTAAATCTGATTTATTCTTGTGTTTAAAGCGTTTGTCATTCCTCTACTTCAGTGTCTCAGACTCATTCAGAAATGATTATTAAATGCTGGATTAATGCACAAGAGAGTTTGGCGAACACGTTTTACACCATTTCAAATATATATTATATGTGCGGCTGTATAAGTCACATACAGCGCTCAGTATAATGGAGGACAGCCCATTCTGAAAACCAAGACTTTCCTCCATTTCTCAGTCAATATAGGCAGTGTATTCTGCTGCATTTAAACAGAACACATTTATTAAACAGATTTATTCATGACAATCATATTTTAGTCACTAAACATATTCAGAAATTGAAAGATAATGCAATTAAATTCAAGCTAATATTGCAAAAAAACCTATGAATTTTCTGATTTTTCCATTGTTTTGCTTCTCTTGATTTTTCCTCTGTTTAATTTTGTTTTTAATATTTTTCTATAACACATAAATTTGTCTGTAGTAGTTTTTGGACCGTTATCATAAGTTATTTTGTTAGATGAGCTCCAGATTTGGCTAATCTATTGTATATGCACAGATATAATACTGTAGAGCTTCCTATTAAAATATGAATGTAAAAGATAGATTAGTGAGGGGTGTACTAATATATGCTGAGCACTGTATATTGTTAACCCAGAGTGTTTACATGGTCACACAGCAGTAACACAACAAGCACTGAGTTTGGGCTAGCTTCTGCAGATGGACATTGCTGTACACTGCCCTTGATGGGTGAGTGGGGGAGTGTCTGTTGTCTCTCAGGTGTGAATTATTCATGAGCATTGTCACTCACACATACAGCTGAGATCACCTAAAACAAACTTAACAAAATGTAGATCATTGTAGTGTTTTCTCTGAATGAGAGAACAGAATAATTTCACATAATTGTGCAGTAAATATTCTAGTCTACAAGACTGCTTACTCTAAACTCTTGTTCAGGCACATTCAGTCTGGTTAATGGATCTTATTTCAGCTACATTTTTTCTCTAAAACCTACTAACCACACATAATATTTATTTCTAAAACACAAGCATGTACATCAATATTTCTCACATATTATTGTAGCTCAGTTTGTGCTGAATACAAATAAAACACATGTTGGCCAGTTCTGTTGGTAATTATCGTTGGTAATATTTCCGCAAGATGACCATGTCGCAGTTAAGCTAAATTAATTCACGCCTCCTCCTGAAGTGACGAGCGATGCATTAAACACTTTTTTCCAGCCGCGGCCGCACTTCATCCTAGAACTGTATAGTTTGTCTAAAGCAGGGATATAATCAGTCAGCGCAGTCGTCCCTCCAGAGTAAAAACCACATTTTGTGTCTGCCGGTTTTGTTTACCTGCGGGAGTTCATTGGCATTTTCCCGCACGTAAATTCTAACCAATCAATAAGTAGTTTAGGAAACATGTTCAACAACATCTGGCCAATGAGAGATGTGGATTTTGTCAGATGACTGCATTTTGATTTGTTTCAACTGGTTCAGATCAAAGCCAGCAGTGTGGAGTGAATACAACCCAAAAACGACAGAAAATACAACAATGCATCATTTATTGCCCTTGGTCCGGACTAAATAAAGCGATCTTCAGATGTGAAATCCCACTTATTTTTCTCCAAAACCTACTAACCACACATAATATTTATTTCTAAAACACAAGCATGTACATCAATATTTATTTTACTGTCTGACTGTAGTTATTGTAGAGTGGAGAATCATTTACCTCAGTGTCTCCAGTTTACAGTGTTGACTCTTCAGTCCATCAGAGAGCTTCTTCACTCCTGAATCCTGCAGGTCATTGTTACTCAGGTCCAGCTCTCTCAGCACACAGTTTGAGAATTGTAGAGCTGAAGACAAACTCTTACAAGACTGAACAGTGAGATTACAGCTCTGTAGCCTGTGTAGAGGACAAACACAATATTGATTGAATATTGTTGATCTGGTCTGTTTAATAGTCTGAGGACATCTGACTGTAGCAGAGATGGCAAAAGTACACACATCCGTTACTTAAGTAGAAGTACAGATACTCATGTTTAAAACGACTCTGGTAAAAGTAGAAGAACTGACTACACTTTTAAAAAAGTACACTTTTTAAAAAAAAGTAAAACGTAGCAGTTTCAACCACAGTCCAAATACACGCAGTATAGGGGAATAATAGGTAACTAAATAGGCAGTAGTGTATAAGTGTGTGTGTGTGAATGGGTGTTTCCCAGTACTTGGTTGCAGCTGGAAGGGTATCTGCTGTGTTAAACATATTCTGGAATAATTGGCGGTTCATTTTGCTGTAGGAACCCCTGATAAATCAGTGACTAAGCTGAAGGATTGTTAGTGAGATAGGTAGGTAACTAGTCCTCTCATACTATTGATACAATATTATAAACTAACCTACATCTCCAATTTGCATGTAAAATGTTTGTTGCTAATTTTATGAAAGTAGCCAAGCAGCATCAGGCCCTGTAATACTGTACAGCATTGCTCATAAAGTCGGCTCATGCATCATCATTCTGACACAAACTCACAGCGTTCAGCATCAAGTTTTGTGGCCGTTAGATCAAAAACATCAGCTGCTATTCACGTTCATACACTCTAATAATAATTCTGTAGACCTGTCTGTCTTTATATATAATATCTTACATTTTACACTGAATTCTGCAGTGTAGATTTACTGTTGTAGATGGTGCTACAGTGCACGGTGCTCAGCTATAGCACTGAGTAAATAAGTAGAGCAATGACCAACCAGTAATCTCCCACTCTCCCTCATGAAGCTAACACAGAAGTACCTGAAACTGCAGTTCATGGAAACCCCGCTAGTCCTGGCTCCATATACAGCAGATTTCTATTGAGCCCACTGTTAAAATGGCCGACTTTACAGCAGGAATAAATGCATTTACAAAAACAAATACAAAGAACCATTTAGCTTCATATGGCTAATATTAGCCTTCATGATAACTGTGAAGGGGAGATGTTTTTATGACTCATCCGTTTCCTTTGTATTGGGTGATATTAAGTCTGCATAATTATGGGCGTGGCCACTTGAGTGACAGCTAGGTCTCGCTGGTCGCTGTCTCCTCACCTCAGCTGATTCCGGCTGATTAGCCGCTGAACTCGATGTATTTTTGTGTTGTTTATGCGGCTTTACACAGTCAGTTGTCTTTTGGAATTGTCTCCTACAAGAATCAGATGATATGGCATGCTGTGTGCACTTCACAAACCGTTCATGTGGCCTCCGTTTCCCAGGTGAGTGAAATGATATACTTATATAGCATCTCTATAAATGTATTTGTTTTGTATAAGATCATTCATCATTTAAATGCTCTTTAGAGCTGTAATGTGCTACAGAATCTGTCAGATTGATTAGCTGCAGGCTCTAGATCAGTCATCTGAAGTGTTGTCATACAGTGTTATGCTGGAGTTCATCAATAGTCTTGTCTTCTTGTGTTAAGTCTTGTGTCCTTTATTTGTCCTTTGTTTATATGGTGCACCCTTGTTCAACACTTTGGTAAACACTTGTTGTCTTTAAAAGCGCTTTATAAATAAACATTGACTTGTTTTCAAGAAACTGAAACTGCACAAATATGAGAGCAGCTCAAACCTTCAGCAGGACACAAAACAGCTTGACTTTAGCGTTTAACTCTGCTGCTTTCACACCTCCAGATCCACTGTTCTGCTCTGAAACAGGATTAACACTGGTATAATGTTTATTTGTGTTCTTGCTGCGCTTCACTTTCACACAGAAATGTTGAATGTCGACACCCACAGACAGACACAATCTGGTAAAGTTTTCAAACAGTGAACTAGACTGCAACTATTAGTGAAATCTATATTAAAGGTCTTCAAATATGATTTGGATTTACAGTAATTGTTTTTCATGTTTAAATCTGATTTATTCTTGTGTTTAAAGCGTTTGTCATTCCTCTACTTCAGTGTCTCAGACTCATTCAGAAATGATTATTAAATGCTGGATTAATGCACAAGAGAGTTTGGCGAACACGTTTTACACCATTTCAAATATATATTATATGTGCGGCTGTATAAGTCACATACAGCGCTCAGTATAATGGAGGACAGCCCATTCTGAAAATCAAGACTTTCCTCCATTTCTCAGTCAATATAGGCAGTGTATTCTGCTGCATTTAAACAGAACACATTTATTAAACAGATTTATTTATGAACATCATATTTTAGTCACCAAACATATTCAGCAATTGAAAGATAATATAATATAATAACATAATAATAATAATAATAATAATAAAAAAACAATAATAACATAATACAATTAAATTCAAGGTTAATATTGAAAAAACCCTACAAAATTTCAGCAAATTTTTTCATTGTTTTGCTTCTCTTGATTTTTCATCTTTTTTTTAATATTGTATTTAATATTTTTCTATAACACATAGATTTGGTTGTACTTGTTTTTAGACTGTTATCATGAGCTCCAGATTTGGCTAATCTATTGTATATGCACAGATATAATACTGTAGAGCTTCCTATTAAAATATGAATGTAAAAGATAGATTAGTGAGGGGTGTACTAATATATGCTGAGCACTGTATATTGTTAACCCAGAGTGTTTACATGGTCACACAGCAGTAACACAACAAGCACTGAGTTTGGGCTAGCTTCTGCAGATGGACATTGCTGTACACTGCCCTTGATGGGTGAGTGGGGGAGTGTCTGTTGTCTCTCAGGTGTGAATTATTCATGAGCATTGTCACTCACACATACAGCTGAGATCACCTAAAACAAACTTAACAAAATGTAGATCATTGTAGTGTTTTCTCTGAATGAGAGAACAGAATAATTTCACATAATTGTGCAGTAAATATTCTAGTCTACAAGACTGCTTACTCTAAACTCTTGTTCAGGCACATTCAGTCTGGTTAATGGATCTTATTTCAGCTACATTTTTTCTCTAAAACCTACTAACCACACATAATATTTATTTCTAAAACACAAGCATGTACATCAATATTTCTCACATATTATTGTAGCTCAGTTTGTGCTGAATACAAATAAAACACATGTTGGCCAGTTCTGTTGGTAATTATCGTTGGTAATATTTCCGCAAGATGACCATGTCGCAGTTAAGCTAAATTAATTCACGCCTCCTCCTGAAGTGACGAGCGATGCATTAAACACTTTTTTCCAGCCGCGGCCGCACTTCATCCTAGAACTGTATAGTTTGTCTAAAGCAGGGATATAATCAGTCAGCGCAGTCGTCCCTCCAGAGTAAAAACCACATTTTGTGTCTGCCGGTTTTGTTTACCTGCGGGAGTTCATTGGCATTTTCCCGCACGTAAATTCTAACCAATCAATAAGTAGTTTAGGAAACATGTTCAACAACATCTGGCCAATGAGAGATGTGGATTTTGTCAGATGACTGCATTTTGATTTGTTTCAACTGGTTCAGATCAAAGCCAGCAGTGTGGAGTGAATACAACCCAAAAACGACAGAAAATACAACAATGCATCATTTATTGCCCTTGGTCCGGACTAAATAAAGCGATCTTCAGATGTGAAATCCCACTTATTTTTCTCCAAAACCTACTAACCACACATAATATTTATTTCTAAAACACAAGCATGTACATCAATATTTATTTTACTGTCTGACTGTAGTTATTGTAGAGTGGAGAATCATTTACCTCAGTGTCTCCAGTTTACAGTGTTGACTCTTCAGTCCATCAGAGAGCTTCTTCACTCCTGAATCCTGCAGGTCATTGTTACTCAGGTCCAGCTCTCTCAGCACACAGTTTGAGAATTGTAGAGCTGAAGACAAACTCTTACAAGACTGAACAGTGAGATTACAGCTCTGTAGCCTGTGTAGAGGACAAACACAATATTGATTGAATATTGTTGATCTGGTCTGTTTAATAGTCTGAGGACATCTGACTGTAGCAGAGATGGCAAAAGTACACACATCCGTTACTTAAGTAGAAGTACAGATACTCATGTTTAAAACGACTCTGGTAAAAGTAGAAAAACTGACTACACTTTTAAAAAAGTACACTTTTTAAAAAAAAGTAAAACGTAGCAGTTTCAACCACAGTCCAAATACACGCAGTATAGGGGAATAATAGGTAACTAAATAGGCAGTAGTGTATAAGTGTGTGTGTGTGAATGGGTGTTTCCCAGTACTTGGTTGCAGCTGGAAGGGTATCTGCTGTGTTAAACATATTCTGGAATAATTGGCGGTTCATTTTGCTGTAGGAACCCCTGATAAATCAGTGACTAAGCTGAAGGATTGTTAGTGAGATAGGTAGGTAACTAGTCCTCTCATACTATTGATACAATATTATAAACTAACCTACATCTCCAATTTGCATGTAAAATGTTTGTTGCTAATTTTATGAAAGTAGCCAAGCAGCATCAGGCCCTGTAATACTGTACAGCATTGCTCATAAAGTCGGCTCATGCATCATCATTCTGACACAAACTCACAGCGTTCAGCATCAAGTTTTGTGGCCGTTAGATCAAAAACATCAGCTGCTATTCACGTTCATACACTCTAATAATAATTCTGTAGACCTGTCTGTCTTTATATATAATATCTTACATTTTACACTGAATTCTGCAGTGTAGATTTACTGTTGTAGATGGTGCTACAGTGCACGGTGCTCAGCTATAGCACTGAGTAAATAAGTAGAGCAATGACCAACCAGTAATCTCCCACTCTCCCTCATGAAGCTAACACAGAAGTACCTGAAACTGCAGTTCATGGAAACCCCGCTAGTCCTGGCTCCATATACAGCAGATTTCTATTGAGCCCACTGTTAAAATGGCCGACTTTACAGCAGGAATAAATGCATTTACAAAAACAAATACAAAGAACCATTTAGCTTCATATGGCTAATATTAGCCTTCATGATAACTGTGAAGGGGAGATGTTTTTATGACTCATCCGTTTCCTTTGTATTGGGTGATATTAAGTCTGCATAATTATGGGCGTGGCCACTTGAGTGACAGCTAGGTCTCGCTGGTCGCTGTCTCCTCACCTCAGCTGATTCCGGCTGATTAGCCGCTGAACTCGATGTATTTTTGTGTTGTTTATGCGGCTTTACACAGTCAGTTGTCTTTTGGAATTGTCTCCTACAAGAATCAGATGATATGGCATGCTGTGTGCACTTCACAAACCGTTCATGTGGCCTCCGTTTCCCAGGTGAGTGAAATGATATACTTATATAGCATCTCTATAAATGTATTTGTTTTGTATAAGATCATTCATCATTTAAATGCTCTTTAGAGCTGTAATGTGCTACAGAATCTGTCAGATTGATTAGCTGCAGGCTCTAGATCAGTCATCTGAAGTGTTGTCATACAGTGTTATGCTGGAGTTCATCAATAGTCTTGTCTTCTTGTGTTAAGTCTTGTGTCCTTTATTTGTCCTTTGTTTATATGGTGCACACTTGTTCAACACTTTGGTAAACACTTGTTGTCTTTAAAAGCGCTTTATAAATAAACATTGACTTGTTTTCAAGAAACTGAAACTGCACAAATATGAGAGCAGCTCAAACCTTCAGCAGGACACAAAACAGCTTGACTTTAGCGTTTAACTCTGCTGCTTTCACACCTCCAGATCCACTGTTCTGCTCTGAAACAGGATTAACACTGGTATAATGTTTATTTGTGTTCTTGCTGCGCTTCACTTTCACACAGAAATGTTGAATGTCGACACCCACAGACAGACACAATCTGGTAAAGTTTTCAAACAGTGAACTAGACTGCAACTATTAGTGAAATCTATATTAAAGGTCTTCAAATATGATTTGGATTTACAGTAATTGTTTTTCATGTTTAAATCTGATTTATTCTTGTGTTTAAAGCGTTTGTCATTCCTCTACTTCAGTGTCTCAGACTCATTCAGAAATGATTATTAAATGCTGGATTAATGCACAAGAGAGTTTGGCGAACACGTTTTACACCATTTCAAATATATATTATATGTGCGGCTGTATAAGTCACATACAGCGCTCAGTATAATGGAGGACAGCCCATTCTGAAAATCAAGACTTTCCTCCATTTCTCAGTCAATATAGGCAGTGTATTCTGCTGCATTTAAACAGAACACATTTATTAAACAGATTTATTTATGAACATCATATTTTAGTCACCAAACATATTCAGCAATTGAAAGATAATATAATATAATAACATAATAATAATAATAATAATAATAAAAAAACAATAATAACATAATACAATTAAATTCAAGGTTAATATTGAAAAAACCCTACAAAATTTCAGCAAATTTTTCCATTGTTTTGCTTCTCTTGATTTTTCATCTTTTTTTTAATATTGTATTTAATATTTTTCTATAACACATAGATTTGGTTGTACTTGTTTTTAGACTGTTATCATGAGCTCCAGATTTGGCTAATCTATTGTATATGCACAGATATAATACTGTAGAGCTTCCTATTAAAATATGAATGTAAAAGATAGATTAGTGAGGGGTGTACTAATATATGCTGAGCACTGTATATTGTTAACCCAGAGTGTTTACATGGTCACACAGCAGTAACACAACAAGCACTGAGTTTGGGCTAGCTTCTGCAGATGGACATTGCTGTACACTGCCCTTGATGGGTGAGTGGGGGAGTGTCTGTTGTCTCTCAGGTGTGAATTATTCATGAGCATTGTCACTCACACATACAGCTGAGATCACCTAAAACAAACTTAACAAAATGTAGATCATTGTAGTGTTTTCTCTGAATGAGAGAACAGAATAATTTCACATAATTGTGCAGTAAATATTCTAGTCTACAAGACTGCTTACTCTAAACTCTTGTTCAGGCACATTCAGTCTGGTTAATGGATCTTATTTCAGCTACATTTTTTCTCTAAAACCTACTAACCACACATAATATTTATTTCTAAAACACAAGCATGTACATCAATATTTCTCACATATTATTGTAGCTCAGTTTGTGCTGAATACAAATAAAACACATGTTGGCCAGTTCTGTTGGTAATTATCGTTGGTAATATTTCCGCAAGATGACCATGTCGCAGTTAAGCTAAATTAATTCACGCCTCCTCCTGAAGTGACGAGCGATGCATTAAACACTTTTTTCCAGCCGCGGCCGCACTTCATCCTAGAACTGTATAGTTTGTCTAAAGCAGGGATATAATCAGTCAGCGCAGTCGTCCCTCCAGAGTAAAAACCACATTTTGTGTCTGCCGGTTTTGTTTACCTGCGGGAGTTCATTGGCATTTTCCCGCACGTAAATTCTAACCAATCAATAAGTAGTTTAGGAAACATGTTCAACAACATCTGGCCAATGAGAGATGTGGATTTTGTCAGATGACTGCATTTTGATTTGTTTCAACTGGTTCAGATCAAAGCCAGCAGTGTGGAGTGAATACAACCCAAAAACGACAGAAAATACAACAATGCATCATTTATTGCCCTTGGTCCGGACTAAATAAAGCGATCTTCAGATGTGAAATCCCACTTATTTTTCTCCAAAACCTACTAACCACACATAATATTTATTTCTAAAACACAAGCATGTACATCAATATTTATTTTACTGTCTGACTGTAGTTATTGTAGAGTGGAGAATCATTTACCTCAGTGTCTCCAGTTTACAGTGTTGACTCTTCAGTCCATCAGAGAGCTTCTTCACTCCTGAATCCTGCAGGTCATTGTTACTCAGGTCCAGCTCTCTCAGCACACAGTTTGAGAATTGTAGAGCTGAAGACAAACTCTTACAAGACTGAACAGTGAGATTACAGCTCTGTAGCCTGTGTAGAGGACAAACACAATATTGATTGAATATTGTTGATCTGGTCTGTTTAATAGTCTGAGGACATCTGACTGTAGCAGAGATGGCAAAAGTACACACATCCGTTACTTAAGTAGAAGTACAGATACTCATGTTTAAAACGACTCTGGTAAAAGTAGAAAAACTGACTACACTTTTAAAAAAGTACACTTTTTAAAAAAAAGTAAAACGTAGCAGTTTCAACCACAGTCCAAATACACGCAGTATAGGGGAATAATAGGTAACTAAATAGGCAGTAGTGTATAAGTGTGTGTGTGTGAATGGGTGTTTCCCAGTACTTGGTTGCAGCTGGAAGGGTATCTGCTGTGTTAAACATATTCTGGAATAATTGGCGGTTCATTTTGCTGTAGGAACCCCTGATAAATCAGTGACTAAGCTGAAGGATTGTTAGTGAGATAGGTAGGTAACTAGTCCTCTCATACTATTGATACAATATTATAAACTAACCTACATCTCCAATTTGCATGTAAAATGTTTGTTGCTAATTTTATGAAAGTAGCCAAGCAGCATCAGGCCCTGTAATACTGTACAGCATTGCTCATAAAGTCGGCTCATGCATCATCATTCTGACACAAACTCACAGCGTTCAGCATCAAGTTTTGTGGCCGTTAGATCAAAAACATCAGCTGCTATTCACGTTCATACACTCTAATAATAATTCTGTAGACCTGTCTGTCTTTATATATAATATCTTACATTTTACACTGAATTCTGCAGTGTAGATTTACTGTTGTAGATGGTGCTACAGTGCACGGTGCTCAGCTATAGCACTGAGTAAATAAGTAGAGCAATGACCAACCAGTAATCTCCCACTCTCCCTCATGAAGCTAACACAGAAGTACCTGAAACTGCAGTTCATGGAAACCCCGCTAGTCCTGGCTCCATATACAGCAGATTTCTATTGAGCCCACTGTTAAAATGGCCGACTTTACAGCAGGAATAAATGCATTTACAAAAACAAATACAAAGAACCATTTAGCTTCATATGGCTAATATTAGCCTTCATGATAACTGTGAAGGGGAGATGTTTTTATGACTCATCCGTTTCCTTTGTATTGGGTGATATTAAGTCTGCATAATTATGGGCGTGGCCACTTGAGTGACAGCTAGGTCTCGCTGGTCGCTGTCTCCTCACCTCAGCTGATTCCGGCTGATTAGCCGCTGAACTCGATGTATTTTTGTGTTGTTTATGCGGCTTTACACAGTCAGTTGTCTTTTGGAATTGTCTCCTACAAGAATCAGATGATATGGCATGCTGTGTGCACTTCACAAACCGTTCATGTGGCCTCCGTTTCCCAGGTGAGTGAAATGATATACTTATATAGCATCTCTATAAATGTATTTGTTTTGTATAAGATCATTCATCATTTAAATGCTCTTTAGAGCTGTAATGTGCTACAGAATCTGTCAGATTGATTAGCTGCAGGCTCTAGATCAGTCATCTGAAGTGTTGTCATACAGTGTTATGCTGGAGTTCATCAATAGTCTTGTCTTCTTGTGTTAAGTCTTGTGTCCTTTATTTGTCCTTTGTTTATATGGTGCACACTTGTTCAACACTTTGGTAAACACTTGTTGTCTTTAAAAGCGCTTTATAAATAAACATTGACTTGTTTTCAAGAAACTGAAACTGCACAAATATGAGAGCAGCTCAAACCTTCAGCAGGACACAAAACAGCTTGACTTTAGCGTTTAACTCTGCTGCTTTCACACCTCCAGATCCACTGTTCTGCTCTGAAACAGGATTAACACTGGTATAATGTTTATTTGTGTTCTTGCTGCGCTTCACTTTCACACAGAAATGTTGAATGTCGACACCCACAGACAGACACAATCTGGTAAAGTTTTCAAACAGTGAACTAGACTGCAACTATTAGTGAAATCTATATTAAAGGTCTTCAAATATGATTTGGATTTACAGTAATTGTTTTTCATGTTTAAATCTGATTTATTCTTGTGTTTAAAGCGTTTGTCATTCCTCTACTTCAGTGTCTCAGACTCATTCAGAAATGATTATTAAATGCTGGATTAATGCACAAGAGAGTTTGGCGAACACGTTTTACACCATTTCAAATATATATTATATGTGCGGCTGTATAAGTCACATACAGCGCTCAGTATAATGGAGGACAGCCCATTCTGAAAATCAAGACTTTCCTCCATTTCTCAGTCAATATAGGCAGTGTATTCTGCTGCATTTAAACAGAACACATTTATTAAACAGATTTATTTATGAACATCATATTTTAGTCACCAAACATATTCAGCAATTGAAAGATAATATAATATAATAACATAATAATAATAATAATAATAATAAAAAAACAATAATAACATAATACAATTAAATTCAAGGTTAATATTGAAAAAACCCTACAAAATTTCAGCAAATTTTTTCATTGTTTTGCTTCTCTTGATTTTTCATCTTTTTTTTAATATTGTATTTAATATTTTTCTATAACACATAGATTTGGTTGTACTTGTTTTTAGACTGTTATCATGAGCTCCAGATTTGGCTAATCTATTGTATATGCACAGATATAATACTGTAGAGCTTCCTATTAAAATATGAATGTAAAAGATAGATTAGTGAGGGGTGTACTAATATATGCTGAGCACTGTATATTGTTAACCCAGAGTGTTTACATGGTCACACAGCAGTAACACAACAAGCACTGAGTTTGGGCTAGCTTCTGCAGATGGACATTGCTGTACACTGCCCTTGATGGGTGAGTGGGGGAGTGTCTGTTGTCTCTCAGGTGTGAATTATTCATGAGCATTGTCACTCACACATACAGCTGAGATCACCTAAAACAAACTTAACAAAATGTAGATCATTGTAGTGTTTTCTCTGAATGAGAGAACAGAATAATTTCACATAATTGTGCAGTAAATATTCTAGTCTACAAGACTGCTTACTCTAAACTCTTGTTCAGGCACATTCAGTCTGGTTAATGGATCTTATTTCAGCTACATTTTTTCTCTAAAACCTACTAACCACACATAATATTTATTTCTAAAACACAAGCATGTACATCAATATTTCTCACATATTATTGTAGCTCAGTTTGTGCTGAATACAAATAAAACACATGTTGGCCAGTTCTGTTGGTAATTATCGTTGGTAATATTTCCGCAAGATGACCATGTCGCAGTTAAGCTAAATTAATTCACGCCTCCTCCTGAAGTGACGAGCGATGCATTAAACACTTTTTTCCAGCCGCGGCCGCACTTCATCCTAGAACTGTATAGTTTGTCTAAAGCAGGGATATAATCAGTCAGCGCAGTCGTCCCTCCAGAGTAAAAACCACATTTTGTGTCTGCCGGTTTTGTTTACCTGCGGGAGTTCATTGGCATTTTCCCGCACGTAAATTCTAACCAATCAATAAGTAGTTTAGGAAACATGTTCAACAACATCTGGCCAATGAGAGATGTGGATTTTGTCAGATGACTGCATTTTGATTTGTTTCAACTGGTTCAGATCAAAGCCAGCAGTGTGGAGTGAATACAACCCAAAAACGACAGAAAATACAACAATGCATCATTTATTGCCCTTGGTCCGGACTAAATAAAGCGATCTTCAGATGTGAAATCCCACTTATTTTTCTCCAAAACCTACTAACCACACATAATATTTATTTCTAAAACACAAGCATGTACATCAATATTTATTTTACTGTCTGACTGTAGTTATTGTAGAGTGGAGAATCATTTACCTCAGTGTCTCCAGTTTACAGTGTTGACTCTTCAGTCCATCAGAGAGCTTCTTCACTCCTGAATCCTGCAGGTCATTGTTACTCAGGTCCAGCTCTCTCAGCACACAGTTTGAGAATTGTAGAGCTGAAGACAAACTCTTACAAGACTGAACAGTGAGATTACAGCTCTGTAGCCTGTGTAGAGGACAAACACAATATTGATTGAATATTGTTGATCTGGTCTGTTTAATAGTCTGAGGACATCTGACTGTAGCAGAGATGGCAAAAGTACACACATCCGTTACTTACTAAGCTGAAGGATTGTTAGTGAGATAGGTAGGTAACTAGTCCTCTCATACTATTGATACAATATTATAAACTAACCTACATTTCCAATTTGCATGTAAAATGTTTGTTGCTAATTTTATGAAAGTAGCCAAGCAGCATCAGGCCCTGTAATACTGTACAGCATTGCTCACAAAGTCGGCTCATGCATCATCATTCTGACACAAACTCACAGCGCTCAGCATCAAGTTTTGTGGCCGTTAGATCAAAAACAACAACTGCTATTCACGTTCATACACTCTAATAATAATTCTGTAGACCTGTCTGTCTTTATATATAATATCTTACATTTTACACTAAATTCTGCAGTGTAGATTTACTGTTGTAGATGGTGCTACAGTGCACGGTGCTCAGCTATAGCACTGAGTAAATAAGTAGAGCAATGACCAAGCAGTAATCTCCCACTCTCCCTCATGAAGCTAACACAGAAGTACCTGAAACTGCAGTTCATGGAAACCCCGCTAGTCCTGGCTGCATATACAGCAGATTTCTATTGAGCCCACTGTTAAAATGGCCGACTTTACAGCAGGAATAAATGCATTTACAAAAACAAATACAAAGAACCATTTAGCTTCATATGGCTAATATTAGCCTTCATGATAACTGTGAAGGGGAGATGTTTTTATGACTCATCCGTTTCCTTTGTATTGGGTGATATTAAGTCTGCATAATTATGGGCGTGGCCACTTGAGTGACAGCTAGGTCTCGCTGGTCGCTGTCTCCTCACCTCAGCTGATTCCGGCTGATTAGCCGCTGAACTCGATGTATTTTTGTGTTGTTTATGCGGCTTTACACAGTCAGTTGTCTTTTGGAATTGTCTCCTACAAGAATCAGATGATATGGCATGCTGTGTGCACTTCACAAACCGTTCATGTGGCCTCCGTTTCCCAGGTGAGTGAAATTATATACTTATATAGCATCTCTATAAATGTATTTGTTTTGTATAAGATCATTCATCATTTAAATGCTCTTTAGAGCTGTAATGTGCTACAGAATCTGTCAGATTGATTAGCTGCAGGCTCTAGATCAGTCATCTGAAGTGTTGTCATACAGTGTTATGCTGGAGTTCATCAATAGTCTTGTCTTCTTGTGTTAAGTCTTGTGTCCTTTATTTGTCCTTTGTTTATATGGTGCACCCTTGTTCAACACTTTGGTAAACACTTGTTGTCTTTAAAAGCGCTTTATAAATAAACATTGACTTGATTATTAATCCTGTTTGCTTTTTGAGCACTGTTGAGTGAGTTCTTAAACACCTGTGATTGGTCATCATGTTCCTCAACAGAAATGATTATGCTGATGACTGCGCTGATCACAGCTGATCCATGCTAGACGCAGTGGAGAAAACTCGTTCTACAGACAGCCTGGATCCACAAGTATCACTGATAGCTTACATTTAAATAGATTTGTCTTTTTTATTCAAAGTCAACACATAGATATAATCATATAATCATTATCAATGTGCAGAAACGAATAAAATCACATCCCTGCATCCCTTTTTATTATTCTTCTGCCAATTTACCTGAAAGGGGTTCCACATTTGGTAAACCATATGTAACTGTCTGTAGTTATTGTTGAGTGGACAATCATTTACCTCAGTGTCTCCAGTTTACAGTGTTGACTCTTCAGTCCATCAGAGAGCTTCTTCACTCCTGAATCCTGCAGGTCATTGTTACTCAGGTCCAGCTCTCTCAGCACACAGTTTGAGGATTGTAGAGCTGAAGACAAACTCTCACAGCACTGAACAGTGAGATAACAGCCCTGTAGCCTGTGTAGAGGACAAACACAATATGTATGTGTTGATCTGGTGTGTTTAATAGTCTGAAGCACGTCTGACTGTAGTGACTGGTTTAACTTCACTAATTAGTGAGAACATCTGCTGATATTAGCATTTAATAGCTTTAACGTCTATAAAACAAATAAATGGCTCTTACAAGAAAGAACTTTTGGGGTGCTGTTTCATTTTATAGCTGACTTTCGTGCAATTTCCGTTAATAGAAAATGTAATTTACTGGCTGTTTCTTATGAGATAGTTCTCCTAAACATTTACTCTCCATTAAGGGTGCTTTCACACTTGGTTGAATTGCCTGGACCGTACCCAAGTTCGATTGTCCCCACTTGCCACCTCCTCGGTTGGTTTGTGTTCACGCTGTCTTTTTTCCTTCTGAACCAGGTACGCATGCGTCATCGAGCTGCTGTTTTGTTTACAGCCATTTCTAAGTGACGGTGACGCAAGCAAGCCCCGCACATTGCAGTCATCCTGCTTGTACTGAGTCGTTTAGTATTGGATATACAGTGAGCGACTGGCGTCTATCTGCCGCAAACATATTATAAACATTCAGAACATCACACAGTGTCTGCAGGAGCTGTTTTTGGAGGAGACAAGCAAACATCACTGAGTATCACTGTGTTTGCCCTGTCTCAGTCACACCTGTCACCAAGATACGAAACGTGACACACACACACACATACACAAACGAACGTTATGAGAACGATAGTTAGTTGTACAGTTGGCGGTTCACTTCCGTTATTTGGTATAATTGCATTCACATCACAAGTGAACCGTACCAGAATTCGCATGAATCATACCCCAGACCACCTCTTTCAGGCGGACTCAGGTACGGTTCATGGGTGCGCATCCGAGTTCAGAAAACATGTTCACACTAGCTAAACATACTGTACTATGACGTCAAACAAACCCAGGTGTGGACCAAAAGTGCTAGTGTGAAAGCACCCTAAAGCAGGTCTGTTGGCGCAGCCCTTTTCGTGTATGGTAACCGGTATATAATCTTAATTACACGGAGGTAAAATAACTCACGTCTCTCCTCGGTTTTCTGCTGAACCGGAATACATTTATTTGCATATGTCCAAATATGGGAAGCAGGTAACACATGACAAAACAGTCTGAGGGCACATCCAATAGTAACGCTAACACCCCCACTGGCACTCATACTGTACAGTATACAAACTGTATATGGTAACACAAATGTTCGATTTACATACCAAACAAAAAACCTTTGAATTTTTCCAGCTTAAACTTTGTCACTGGTTTAGTCATGACATCGGCTACCATGTCTTCTGTGGGACAGTACTCAACAGTCACTTTTCCATCGCTCAGTGCAGATCGAATGAAATGATACCGTACATCCACATGTTTGCATCTTTGACGGCACACTGGATTCTTTGATAGTGCAATGGCACCTTGATTGTCCTCAAAAATCTGTACAGGCATATACATGCAGTCATTTTCCATACTGTCCAATAACTGTACAAGGTACATGCTTTCTTGTGTGGTTACAGTCAGTGCCATATACTCTGCCTCGCATGTCGATAGAGCTACTGTGGACTGTTTCTTTGACTTAAATGAGATCAAAGGACCATTTGCAGAAAGGCTGAAACAGTACCCTGTTGTGCTTCTTCTGTCATTTAGATCTGAGGCAAAATCAGCATCACAATATGCCACAAGTTTAAGTTTTTCATCACTTTTCTTGTAACATAGCTCCTGATCAATTGTACCCCTCAAGTACCTCATAACATGTTTAACCGTAGACCAGAGCTGTTCGTTTGGTTTGGACAAATACTGTGATAGTTTACTAAGAACCCAACTTAGATCAGGTCTAGTACATGTCATTAGGTAGATCAAACTACCTACTGCCTCACGATACCTTTTAGGATCAATAGGATCACTATCACTGTCGTAATCCAATTTCAGCTCACATGGTGTTGATCTGGGTTTACAGTCTAACATATTGAATCTCTCCAGTATTCGCAATATGTATCTTTTCTGGTTTACCCTTACAGTTCCCTTACTTTGATCGAAATCAATTCCCAGAAAATGTTTGAGCTTTCCCAGATCTTTCATTTTGAATTTTGATGTCAGCATTTCTTTCACATCCTTCAGTAAACTGTTGTCACTAGCAGCTATGATGAGATCATCTACCCAGATTACTATGATCACCCTGTCTTTACCACTTCGCTTACTGTACACACAGTAATCAGCCAGATTCTGTATGAAATCATTTTCAGTGAGATACACATGTAACATTTTGTTCCAATTTCGTCCTGATTGTTTTAAACCATACAGTGATTTGTTCAATTTACAGACTAGTTTATCACCTCTGTTTGATTTGACTTCAAATCCTTTCGGCTGCTCCATGTAAATCTCACAATCTATTGGAGCATGTAAGTAAGCCGTTTTCACATCCATTTGGTGAAGTTCAAGATCATATTGTGCTGCCATTTGCATTAAGGCTCGAATTGATGTGATATTTGCTGTTGGTGAGAAAGTCTCTATGTAATCTACACCCATCACTTGACTATAGCCCTTAGCAACATATCTGGCCTTGTATGTCTCTGTCTCATCTATATTACTCTTAATAGAGTAGACCCATCTACCCCCCACTGAATGTTTACCTTCTGGTAGTGTAGTTAGGGTAAATGTATTGTTTTCTTGTAGTGAGCTAATTTCATCTTCCATGGCCTTAACCCACATCTTAGACTCATTGGAATTCATAGCTTCCTCAAAAGTCTGTGGTAAATCGCACATTCTGTAACAGTAATCAACATTAGTAAGAATCTGATCATCACTCTCCACATCAGATACATAATCTGTCATATACTGTGGGGCTCTCCTATTTCTCTTAGGATAACGTGCGCATTGTTCACCACTCTCAGTTTGAGCACTACTCTGACTCTCTGTCTCAGTTGTCTTTTCTGGCGTCTCAGTAGTAATGTTATGTGTTGACTGGGGAGATACATATCTCTCTCTATGAGAATCATCATCTGACATTGTGATTTCTGTCTGTGTCTGATGATCAGCCACACATCTTGTTATGAATTTCACAAGTCTGTGTTTCAGAACTTTTCCTGTGTCTGGATAATAAATCAAATTTGCAGGGCTGTTTTTATCATATCCTACAAAAATCCCTTTTTCACATCTAGCATCCAGCTTCTTTTTGTCGTGTTTGTATGCGTAGCATACTGAACCAAATATTCTCATTTTAGAGAGATCAGGCTCCTTCCCAGTCAATGCATAGTATGGGGTTTGGTGTATACGGCTATTGTAGCACCTGTTGCGAATTACTGCAGCAGTCATTACCGCGTAGGTCCACAACATCTTGGGCAGGCCGCTCTCTAAGATCATGCATCTTGCCATCTCAAAAAGTGTTCGCCAATTTCTCTCGGCAGTCCCATTTTGATGGGGCGAATATGGCGCTGAAGTCTCATGGCGTATACCATTCTTACTTAAAAGAGACTGAAACTCTTTTGCTGTGAACTCTGTGCCATTATCTGACCTAACACACTTTATGCGCCCATAAGGTGCTGTGTCAGCAATTAACTTTTCAGTTGCTCTTGCAGTGTCACTTTTAGCTTTTAAAAAGTAAAAAAATACTGCACCAGAGTAATCATCAGTGAATGCTAAAGCATACTTGAAGCCGTCTTTAGCTTCTGGGTCAATTGGACCAGCTAGATCTGTGTGCACTAGTTCGAGTGCAGCTTTAGCTCTTGTATCAGGCTCCCTGTTTCGGCTCTGTACAAATTTACCCTGTGTACAAATCTCACAATTTAAATTAGATTTATCAATCTTCCCTGTTATTTTCATCCCCTTCACTACATTTTGCAATTTGGAAATGTCTTCATAATTGCAGTGCCCAAGAATTTCGTGCCAGGTTTGGATATCATAACATGAGTTACAACTATCAGTATCACCATCTCCATTAGCAGTGTTCAGATAATACAGTCTATTGTACTCATGTTTGCTAAATTTTGTACCGTCCTTATGAGTCAGTTTGTCTTGTCCTTGTTGAAAGCTGATCGAAGCTCCGTTTGTTGTTGCTGCTTTAACAGAAAAAATGTTTTGTGGATACGATGGTATATACAAGGCGTTCTTTAGTATCGTTTTCACTTTATGTCCCGCGCTGTCAATCAAGTGCACCTCTGCGTCACCTCTTCTCTGCGCAACTCCACTCGCCTTTGTTTCGTCCGCCAACTCAATGTAGTGTTTCTCCGGTTGGAATTTGTCATCAAACTGTTTGAATTTCTTAAGATCAGTAATGATATGCGAGGTCGCGCCAGTGTCGACCATCAGCCCTTTTCGCTGTATTTCGTATGATCTGTAGTCACTGGCTTTGAAGATAAATGTGTGTTCCTCATCATCGTTCTTGTCGCTAGTCAGTTTAATATCATCTCTCTTTTTTCGTCTACAGTTCTCGTCTTTGTGTGTTGAGCTTTTGCAGTAATTACACCACTGTCGTTTGCAGTTTAAGGCTGGGCATGTACGCATTTTGTGCCCCTTCTGTTGGCAGTTGTAACACGTAATGTCCGAGTATGCGAGCCCTTCTCTCCCCTTGCGTCCCGAGGGGGAGGCATTTGCTTTCATTACGTTATCTTCACTGGCGACACTGTGGAAGTTTTCAGTACTCTCAAAATTTCTCAGCTTCGTTTTAAACTCAGCAAACGTTATTTCTGTATCACTCTGTGTGATATGTATTGCAAACGGTTTAAACGAGTCCGGCAAACCTTTCAAAATCATCGCAATTAGAAGTCCATCACTAAGGGTTTCTTCTGCATTTCTTAGTGCTGTGATTGCGGTTTCAGCTCTTATAATATAGTCTGTGACACTCTCACTTGGTTTCTTTTGTAAAGAAGTTAACTCGGTATACAGAGAAATGATTCGCGGCTTCCCTTTGCCAGCATAGTAGGCCCGTAAAATCCGCAGAGCTTTCCTACCGTCATCCGCGGCATCTCTCATGACAAGTGACAAACTTTTGTCATCCAGGTACTGGATTAATTCTGCATACGCTTCTTCATTTTTATCAGGTCCTTCAGCATCATTAGCATGTGCGGAGGCCTCTGATAGCACCGTCTCTTTCAATCCTAGCAACCGCATGTGTCCTAAAAACTTTGTTTCCCAAAGTTCATAGTTTTTCTCATCTCCATCGAAACACAATCTATTCCATCGGTTACTCACATCTCTTCTGGGCCCATAGCCTGTTGGCGCAGCCATTTTCGTGTATGGTAACCGGTATATAATCTTAATTACACGGAGGTAAAATAACTCACGTCTCTCCTCGGTTTTCTGCTGAACCGGAATACATTTATTTGCATATGTCCAAATATGGGAAGCAGGTAACACATGACATGACAGTCTGAGGGCACATCCAATAGTAACGCTAACAAGGTCGAACACCAGAAGCGCCGCGACACAGTGCGCACATGCCAGTATAAAGTATTACACACCAGACGCGCACATTCACATAATATTTAACATGAAACTGATCAGATGGCGCTCTGTGGCGCAGCTGAAATATGAACTGCGACCTGAGTCCTGGCTGGGCGCTGCCGACAGAAGCCGAGTTGCAGCGCCGGTTTGTACCCTGATATAAACCTATGTTTAGAATTTTAAAATGCATGGCGCTGCACGACACCGAGCAACATTTCTGGTGTGCGACCTGCTGAAATCATTTATATCCAGTAGATTACGTGGAGTCTGCGCTTTCTTTATGATGTGACATGGTTAGACTTTTGATTCTAGAGACACATTTGACTGTACAGAGCCGTTTTGACACGACAGCATGGAGATCTTTAATCATCTAATCACTGAAATTACCAAGTTGTCTAGAAGTGGCTAAGTCAACTTGGATGAGTGAGCAATTTGCAACCAGAATATTTAAGTATTAGCTAACTCAACATCCTCTGACTAACTTTAGGATGTTGACATACTGTCCATGAGAAGACATGCAAAACACGGACTGTGAAAGTCTGAGCGATGTTTGGTCCCTAGTGAACGCATAACTGAGGAGAATGGGAACAGATATAAATCTAAACTCTAAATTGAGTCATAAATGATGAATGTGATCCGTTCTTACAATTAGAAATACAGGCAAAATTTTAGGATCACTTAAAATTAGAGGCAGATTAAATTCAGAGCTAAAAAAACAAATATAAATAAATTCTAATAAATAAAATGCTTTTCAGAAGCATTAAAAAAGCTTACATTTATTTAACCTTTAAACATGCTGTTAGTTTCCTCATTGGGCTAATAGATGGACTTCTACAGATGAAAGAAAGAAACACTTTGACTTACAGAGCTCTTTTGGAGGTTTTGATGACTGCTGATAGTCTGATGAGACACTCGTCTGATCTCTGGAATTTCTGAAGCTCAAACTCCTCCAGCTCCTCCTCTGAGGTCAACAACACAAAGACCACAGCAGACCACTGGGCAGGAGAAAGGTCAGCAGATGACAGACTTCCTCTTCTGAGGTGAGACTGAATCTGTTTCAGCAGAGTTTGGTCGTTCAGTTCATTCAGACAGTAGAACAGATTGATGGATCTCTCTGGAGACAGATTCCATTCAAGTTTCTGCTTGATGTAGGCAATTATTTCCTCTTTGCTCTGGTCTCTGTCATCCTGCTGTGTCAACAGGCCTCGTAAGAGTTGTCGATTGGACTGGAGTGACAGACCGAGAAGGAAGCGAAGGTAAAGGTCCAGATGTCCATTCTCACTTTCCAGAGCCTTGTCCACTGCAGTCTTCAGGAAATCAATCATGGACTCATCTCTGCTTTTTTCTGCTTGTGTCTTGTCTCTGTCTAGAATCAGATGTTGATAAAGGGCTGCAATGAACTCCTGAATGCTCAAGTGAAGAAAGCAGTACATGGTACCAAGAATGATTCCCGTCTCCTCCTTAAAGATCTGGGTACACATGCCTGAGTACACCGATGCCTTATAGACGTCAATGCCACAGTCTTTCAGATCACTCTCATAGAAGATCACATTGTTTCTTTCCAGCTGCTGGAAGGCCAGTTTCCCCAGTGAAAGGATGAGCTTTGGATCCCAGGAGACATCTGCTGTGTTTTCTCCATCATACTTTCTTCTGCTCTGCTGGATCTGAAAGCGGAGAAAGTGTGTGTACATCTGTGTCAGAGTCTTGGGAGATTCCTGCAGTGTTTCAGCATGAGCCCTGTGTTTCAGTTTCAGTATGTTCTGGAGAACAGTGGCTGAAATCCAGCAGAAGACTGGGATGTGGCACATAATAAAGAGACTCTTTGACTGTTTAATGTGATCAATGATTTCTGTGGCCTGATTCTGATCTGTGAGTCTCTTTCTGAAGTACTCCTCCTTTTGGGCATCATTGAATCCTCGTATCTCTGTCAGCCGGTCGATACAGTCAGCAGGAATCTTACTGGCAGCTGCTGGTCTGCTGGTGATCCAGATGAGAGCAGAAGGAAGCAGATTTCCCTTGATGAGGTTCGTCAGGAGAACATCCAGAGAGACTGCTGAAGATACATCACGACACGTCTCATTACCAGCAAAGTTCAGAGGAAGACGACATTCATCCAATCCATCAAGGATGAACAGGACTTTGAATCGTGTGCTTCTTGTAAGGTTCAGTCCTTTAGTCTCTGGGAAAAACTGAGTTATGAGGTCTTTTAAACTTTGTCTTTCTTCCTCCTTTAAGTTCATCTCTCTGAATGGAAGAGGAAATATGAAGCTGATGTCTTGATTTTCTTTTCCTTCAGCCCAATCCAGAACAAACTTTTGCACCGAGACGGATTTCCCGATGCCAGCAACTCCTTTTGTCAGGACAGTTCTGATCTGCTCGTCTTGTTCAGCTGCTTCAAACAAATGTTTGCATTCAACCTGTATCTCTAGTGACTGATGACGTCTGGAAGCAGCTTCAATCTGTCTGATCTCATGTTCAGTGTTGACCTGTTCACTCGCACCCTGAGTGATATAGAGATCTGTGTAGATGTTATTCAGAAGTGTGGAGTCTCCTTGCTGAGCAATTCCTTCAAACACACTTTGATATTTCTTCTTCAGGCTACATTTAAGCTGATTAATGAAGAACAGCTCGCCTAAACACAGGATGAAAGAAACAGACAGGTTTAGTCTTGACTTTTCCAGATTTTTTGTAATAAATATGGATTGCCATGACCCAGAAAACATTGGTCTGATGGCAACTTCATGTGGCTTACCAAAAATGGTTGCAGTAGATCGCACCTTTGCATAGTTTCACACCATTGTAAATCAGTTGTGAAAGGGACCTCCACAAATTATGTCCTTTACACATGCATTGCCAAGGTTATAATAGTTTTGGATTTTTCATTAGCTTTAGTTTTTATTTCGTTTTGACTTTTTGTTTTCAAATTGAGTTTTAATAAGTTTTAGAGGTAGATTTACTAGTTTCTATATATTAAAATTGCTTAGTTTTAGTTTTTTTTTCTTTTTTTTCTAAATGAGGATATTTGTTAGGTGCAAGATTCAAAATTATCAGAATAAATGCTGTATAATAAAAACACAGTCATACATTTTTTTGAAACCTATATTTAGAGGACACATAACCACTACCATCTACCACAACCATCTACCCGTCCTCAAATTCAAATACAACAGGCAACAGATAGCAGCCTTAAGTATATGTGTGCAAGTACTCAACATATTAAAATTATGTAGTCAACAATAGTAATTTCAGTCACTTAAAACATCACCATAATCTGAAAAAAATCACAACTGAAGCATGATTCACTTATTTAAATTCCATTACGAGTTTCTGTTATGAAAAAAACTTACGTTTTTCACCAGATCCTCTTATTTAAGCCCTCGGTTTACCTGCGCTGCAGTTGTTTAGGTTTAGTTCATTCACAGCAGGCTTTCATGTACTGTTTGTGTTTGGTTCACTAATTCACACATGCGCTGTATTATCGGTTCACTGCTTCTCAATTTGAACTCAGTGTAACGTTTCTGTTCTAATAACAGAATAACAGTATATATTGGATTATTTAGAGTCAGAGGTGGGCTTGGAGTGGATTATTGTTAAAAAGTAAGTAATTTGTGGATGAGTGTAAAACTAATGTACAACATAGATACATATAGGAGTAGGTCAAGTCACATCAATTGGAGACCAAAATACAACTTCATTACTCTACCACAGTGGCATGTGACAAGGTGTCCGCAAAAAATCCTTATCCCCTTTATGTGTTTAATCGTCAAGATTAAGCTTTGACTCTGACACTGCAATGAATGAAGAACTGTCAAAGGATTGTGATAACAAAAAACAACCGTGGACCCTCCTCCCACATATACATC